TTGACGGGCGCTATACTTGCGGGATTTTCCTTTGGTTCAAAATCCTATGGACAGAATGCTGTCTGGAGGTATCGAAATGCTGGGAGAGTTTACAAATGCTCAGATCGCAGCTTCTGGACACCTCACGAATAAGCACACAAGCAGACAAGTCATCCGTGGTGATGCGAGACCGCCCTTTTATGGCGTCGCACACGCTCCGTTTTCTCAAATTTTCTCACCAGCTTACGAACATACGATCCGTTGCTAGGCCGCTTGGCACTGTGGATAGTGGCAACTACTTTTTCCACCCGAGGGCGTGGTAACATTATCACTCCTAATGAGGGCAGCATACGCGAGTGAAGGCCAAACGATCGGTAAAGAGCACAATAGTTTTCGATGCAAACTAACATGCGATTGGGAACTTGAGGTGAATGTGTTGAAAGTGATCACAGTGGAACAAATAAGAGGATCACTGGGAAGAACGTTTGCACAGGTGTGACACATGGCGCAAATGTGTTGTTGATCATACAGTGTAACATTAAAATATTCAACCCACAGGTTATCCGGATAATTTGTCCCTTATATTTGGTATTCAACATGGTTGGAGGCATCCGGTTTCGGATTTGCCTGTCACTGTGGCCAGTCACAGGACGCCTGCGCCTACAGAGGCACCATGGGTGGCTTGCGCCACCCCAACCACAGCTCTGACCACACACCCCATATCCAGTGCAAACCCGAAGGAATAAGACCGGGAGGCATGCGGATGGGAGCCACGTTTCATCAACGCAGCCGGCCCACACTCCTTCACAGACAAACACAAGCACGCTGTATTTAGGGAATCAAGTGCACACAAGGCGGTGGCTGGACCATACTCCGCTCCACACTGACTGCATGGAACCACTCCATGAGCCTAGCACGGCCACAACGACCGTACACCCCGTCCCCTCCAACAACGACCAACTGTCTCCTGGAGCCAGTAAGAACGATGTAGTGGGTAATAGACAGGTAGACACCTTGTCAACATGCATATCAAGTGCAGCCACACCTGGGATGTCAAACAATAGCCAATCATTCGAAATGCCGATATCGATTAAAGTAAACGCATATTACGACATAAATACTCGCTCGCTAAATGTGCATATAGAAGAACTTGGTTATAAGTGAATCCGTGATAAGTACAAAATGTCCGAAAGTTATTTAAAATATACCACGCGGTAAAATTACGCAAGTTTACCACAATTTGTATGAGCGACGTGTGCAAGTAAGGAGAAGATTATTTAGTTAGGCAGAACAAACCAAACAACATGTAATGAATTTTATCCACATTAAAAAGACCTAGTTTAAGTGTAAGTTGGTTTAGCCCAACTGCGGTGAAGAAGCATCATGAATGCAACATCAGCCTCAGCATGGAAAACGGTATTCAACATACGACGGTAATAAAAATGCGGCTCCGTGTCACGTGTCGCCCTGGGCGTACCGCCTACCCGCCCCCATACTGCGCCTCTGCAAACGAAACAACTAAATGTATTCAAAGCGGATTTAGTCATCTCTTCGTCTACATAATGCAAACCCGTCATTAAGCACGATCACGTGTTGTGAACCCAGGAACGACACCATAGCCCAATCATCGATAGTCGCTCATCCAAACTCAAACCGAGTGTATTGAAAACCAAACCGCTTACACCGGAGCTGCATCATCAGGTTGACAACGATGTAGATGAGGTTCCTGATGGAAAGCACCTGGTTGAATGTGCCAGTAAACCATGCGAAATTTTAGCTGATAGCAATTAAGGACGTAAGATAACCGCTCATTTTCCCGCGAACAACACTGGAACTAAGTTTCGACAGATCGCTCGCCTAATGTGATATGCGTCAGGTCGAGAAGAGCCAGGGCTTCCGTATCCGGGTGTCCATTGGGTCGTCAAAAATCCAGGGGGTTGAAAGGCGAAACAGATACTTGGTAGGCGGCTGGACAGTTTCGTATCAACCACCTACTAGAAGTCGGAGGTGGATGGAGAGTGCGTCTGATTTATATCTCCTAGTTAGCTGCCCGATGTATTCACAGCTAGCGATGGGGGACGGAGCCTGAGGTGTGTGGATGGATGAGGATAACACGCACGAGATATGATTGCAACAGATGTCCGGCTATAACCACATGATTCACCCACGTAGAACTGGGATGGAGCGAAATTGCAACTTTCACCTGTAAATGGTAAATGCCATATGAACGCACGGACTGGTTTGCGTCATGCGGAGCCACACATCCCTGTGCAGACGCTACAACCTGACGAGTAAATGTGATTCGCCGAAGCAAGTAAATTCTATTTGAGATTTCAAAGCACCTTCTCCCCGTAACCCTGTGGTGTGTTCAAATACAGTCCACAACTGACGAATACACCTCGGGAAATATTTCCCTAGAGCGTGATAAACGTTAGTTGTGCTTGTCCTACATGCTCTGCGTTTCCGCATGCAGCGTCCAGCCTCCTGCGTTGGTGTAACGGGTTAAGCAATCCGGCACATGGCCACACACACTACCCATGTCCGTCAAGTCTGCATAGCTCAATTTTCTTATTTATTATGCCCTTATCAAAGTACTTATCCACTGGCTTTCCAAACACAATGAACGAAAGGCGGTAGAACATAATTGTTTGCCACACAACCGTGTTAAAGTGGCATCTATTTGTCAAGATCTCACATGATTGTTCTACAACGCGGCAACTAAAACGGGTATGCGACGCGACCACACGCATCAACTTACCGGAAATCCACGATGTTCCTCCGAATAGAGAACTGGCTATTTCTAGCAGGGTATAAAGTGCACTCTGACCCGTCATCATAATAAAGTAAGAACAACACTCGCTTAGTTTACTGCCAACAGAATGTTTTACAGATCGGCCAAATGAATAACACGTCCATAATTCTTACTGACATGCTGAACCATTTGTTCGCAGTGCTGCTGCGTCACTAAGGCCCGTGTTTCAGACACCGCGTGCTCCAAAAAGCGAATCCACCACTCGATTTTATTCAGAACGCCTTCAGGATCCCCCAGGAGTATCTCGGAGTACCGTCCCCTCATTGCTTGTTTTACATGAGCCTTTGTTATACTCCAGATGCCCTCGATGGGATTGAGAGCTGGAGAGTATGGCGCAAGGCGTAGAATTCTCCCAGAGCGGTACGGTTCCTCCAAGAAAACGTGCTCCAAGTACCTGTGGTAGGGCGCGTTGTCACAAATCAAAAGACACCTTTCCACAAACACTGATCCGTTGGTATCAAGCACTTATCGTAGCCACTGAGCGCACCTTTGCTTTTTGTAAGTTTCTCTCAGAACCGAACACGCTATCAAGCCGTTGTTTGTCATGGGGCCGACAAGTTGAACATTCGGTCCTCGGCTGTTCACCACTGTACACTGCGCTCGATTACCACGTTGTGAGCGGCCACTAGTGCGGGAACAAAATAAGTTGAAATTGGTCTCATCAATCCACACCGGTTACCTTCCTTCTACCACGTAATCCATGAGCAGCAAAACGAATGATCTGCGTCGCTTGTTGTTCTCCAGAGTGCTCATGGACTCCGGAGTGGCGTGCAATTTTTCATTGTTATCAGTCTACCATCCAAGTATCGTGGGACGGTGCTGGTACTTACTGAAAGTTCGAACTCCGCCTCCCACCGCAAAGGAAGGAGTTCAAGGGTAACAGTAGGCTCCGCAGAAACTCACTCCACCAGAGAGTGGACGTGGCTTTCTCCCAGTGCTCTGCGACGGACTCCATCGTGCTGCCCCACGGGTTCCGTCGATTCGTACGCTCGTATGCAGTTGCGAGAAGTTTTCACGTCCACCTTCAGTGTGCAAGCGACCTGCTTCCAATCGTCTCCTTCCTAGTGCACTTTCGGTATGACGTTCTTCACCTCCCATTTGAGCGCCGAACATACAAGCCAGTTATTGCGTTTAGATGAACTGCACGTTAGAAACCATACGGCAAACTTAGTTGACTGTGGCTCGTTATACCAACCTAAGCGTCATTCAAATCCCTACTCTTCTTCTACGTGGTGGGAATCGCTTTCTTGGAGAGAGAAAGAAAGGCTCACATAGTGCATCGATCGTCGACACTGTAACTGGTAGGAGCTGAAGCGTCCCACCTGCACCCCTATGAGGTCCAATTGGCTGAATGCGACGGGCTATACACGCACACCTACACACTGCACAAGTGAGCAGCGCATGCACGGCTCAAAGTAATTGAGTAAAGACTTATCTGATATGCTCCTCAGTGCAACTTCTTTGCCGTTCAGATTAATACTGTTGCCCAAGGAGACAACTTCGTCGAGGAATGGTATAGAAGAATAGTATTAAGGTTTTTGGGTGCCTTTCAAAATGATCTTCGGAATAAGACCATAAGAGTTCTTATTGGACACGAAAAAGGTGAAATTTTTCGCAGTGCTTCAAGCACGAATGAGTTCGAAATTAATAAAGCGCAGAATGATGGTACCCCGCTGGTTAAAGATCCAGAAGATGTAGACTAATAAGAAAATCTCATGAAGCCGAATCATACGATAGTCCATAGGTCCTTGTGAGAATAAATCCAAAGATTTAGATGCGAATAACACAAAAATAGAGATTTATTGATACCGCACCATAGATGTTGCTACTCGTGCAACGAGCTGTGTTCATACTTTGGCAATTTTCGGCAAGAATCAGCGATGAGTGGCTCCCTTAACTAACGTACTAAATGTGTAACTGTTGGTACTATCTGTATGATTGGTTGAAGTGCGGCAAAAGTTGGACGAATGAAAAAGTTAGTGGCTAAGTAATAAATGTAGGGAGAACGCATCGATTACGTGTAGACGGTGAGTCACCCAAAAAGTATATTTAGAAAGGCATGTATGGATGTCAATGATAGCGCGAAATCTATCAATTAGGAGCAGCAATAATGGACTGTAGTTAGAAGCACAGAAAAATAATATTAAAATGCAACCGCTGAAAAACAAGAGAGTCATTTATAGATGCACTACCGGTGGGACGCACTTACTTGCTGGCCAGTGGTATCCTAAATCGGCTGGCTGACATGAGACGGCGAGAGGTGTCTGAGCCGGCCGGGGTTACAAGTGCTTTCGCTGAGTCGTTCGTTGTTGGTGGGCAGGAGGGGCATGAGGTGCCAGCAGCTAAAGGCGTTGAAGTGACGGTACCTACTAATGGAGGACACCGCTCACGGCATGAAGCCATCAAAAGTAGATTTTCTCGAACTGCCTGGAAATTAAGTGTAGAATCGAGAAAAGAAAGAGTCAAAGCAATATAACATTAGTGATCAGAGATATATACGTCTAATGAGTACACCACAAGAATCATCCTGTAAAACCATCGCTTTGGGTCAATGTATGGCCACTAACAAGATTCTGGTGACTCTGCTAATAGGCTCAAATAAAAAGCCAAATGAGAACATTCACTAATACACGTGTGAGTACGCCGAGATTTCACCTAAAAAGTGGCAGGATACAAAGTATGGTAGTAAAAGTCCCTAGCTGCACAATCTTTTCACGACTACGTTCCCTTATGGATGCATGGCCCGAGTTTGAGAAAATACAAAAAGAAGTAAAAAAAGCTATTCGGAGACTCGATCGCTAATCATTCTTATTCCATATATATGATTAGTGACATCAGGTTCCGGATTTGCTTGAAACTGCGCATCCATAGGACGCCAGATTCTAGAGAGACTACGGGTGACTTGTGCTGCACCACCTACAACTCCATGCATATACCACATATCCAGTGTCAACCCAAAGGAATCAGACCGGGAGGCATGTGGAGGGGAGTCACATTTCAACAACGGAGCCGGACCTACAACCTACACAGCAGCAGCATGCTTGTCTACCTAATTTGGGAATTATGTGTACAAACGTACGCAAGAATGGGCCGAAGTAAGCTCCACACTGGATGCAACCACCCTTTGAGCCTAGAATGGTGAACGAGGACCGTACATCCAGTCACCCCAACCAACCCTCAACTGTCTCCTGGAGTAGGTATAAACAAGGTAGCGGTTTTTCGACAGGTGGGCACCAAATCAACATTCACATGGTGCGAAGTAACAACGGGAATATCAAACAACCAACAGGTAGTGTAAAGGAAAGGAAACGCAAAATTGATAAGAAATATGCTGCAGAATAATAGAACTGAGCAAATCAAATACGGTCAAAGATGTCTGAAGAGACCAATCAAGGGACCGACAAAAAGCGTTCGCCATAGCCAGTTGGCCTGTAATAACATCCACTCAACTTATAAGTCAGTGTAGCCCAAATGTGATAAAGAAGCATTATTAGGCAACATTCACCTCAGTATGAGGACACATACCCGATCATGCAGATACAGGAGTGTTTAGCATCATGGAGGATAAGAGGCATATATATATATATATATATATATATATATATATATATATATATATATATATATATAATGGTTGGCAGCCTGCGGTTTCGGATTTACCTGTCACTGTGGCCAGCAACAGGACACCTGCGCCTACAGTGGGACCATGGGTGGCTTGCGCTGCACCACCCACAGCTCCATCCACACACCCCATATCCAGTCTAAACCTGCGCTTGATGTGCATGTTGACAAGGTGCCTACCTGTCTATTACCCACTACCTCGTCAATACTGGCTCCACGAGACAGTTGGTGGTTGTTGGAAGGGACGGGGTGTACGGTCGTTGTGGCCGTGCTAGGCTCAAAGAATGGTTCCATGCACTTAATGTGGAGTGCACTACGGTCCAGCCACCGCCTTGTGTGCACTTGATTCCCCAAATACAGCGTGCTTGTGTTTGTCTGTGAAGGAGTGTGGGCCGGCTGCGTTGATGAAACGTCACTCCCATCCACATGCCTCCCGGTCTTATTCCTTCGGGTTTGCACTGGATATGGGGTGTGTGGTTGGAGCTGTGGTTGGCGTAGCGCAAACCACCCATGGTCCCTCTGTAGGCGCAGGCGTCCTGTGGCTGGTCACAGTGACAGGCAAGTCCGAAACCGGATGCCGTCAATCATATATTTGTAGGTGATTTTGGATGTTCGTTGTGTGGTTTTTTTCGCCACAGCTTCTAAGCCAGCTAGTCTTTCACATCGCCAGTACTAGACAGACATGTCTTTCTATCGGGACTCGTCAGTAGTGCCGATTCAACGTCTCCGCCTCTGGCCCCATTGCTACATAGGAAAGACTACTGATTAGCTGATAAGACGCTATCAGTCATAGGTTCGGATCTTGATGGAGCCAATGAATGGGCACTACTGACCAGTCCCGATAGAACGATACGGCTGTCTAGTACTGTTCCGGGATTGTGAAGGACTATCTGATTTGGGAGCTGTGATGAAGAAACCCCAAGTTAGAGGTATTTACATTATGGTATGGTATATAGCTGGCGACATCCGGTTCCGGAGTTGCCTGTCACTGAGAATGTGAGAAGCAAAAGAACGCCTCTGCCTACGAAGGGACATGTGGATTGCACTGCAACAACCACAGTCCCATTCATAAACCCTACACCCAGTGTAAACCAAAAGGCATGTATATGGGAGCCAGAATGGATTCGGAGCAGGCCCATACTTCTTCCACATGCACATCATGCGCCTAAACAGAGGGAAACAAGCATATCAGACGTATAAAGGGGGGGGGGCTGAGACGTAGAAAGTTCCACACTGGGTGGAAGCAATTTTTGAGCATATCACCGTTACAAAAACTTTGGACCCAGTCTTTCATGGTGATGAGTAATAGTCTCTTGGAGCTAGTAATCGAGGTGACGGTTTTCGATAGGCGGGCACCTTATCAACATTTGGACCAAGCGCAGACAGACCAAGAATATCAATCAACAAACAAATAAGATATGGGGAAAAATCACAAACATATGTACAGATCAACCACAGCGACGGGGTAGCACACGTACTACATCTACCGCTTTCTTGACCTGGGCTAGTATATGGAATAGGAAGCAGCGCACTCACCAAGCACTGACACCTACGGCGCAGCCGGACAAAATCTTAACGACGTGCGACGGTTTGCGTACCTCTTCGACACATTAGGCTATATTGGGTGGGACCCTCGGACCCAGTTAGAGCTACTCGTACCAGTTTGGTCAATGGTCAGACAAACTCAGTCTTCTGAGAGTTTGAAATGGGATGGCGCCCATTTCCGTAGATCCAAATCGCTGCCATCTCCAAGCTGCCTTGCAGACAGGTTTTTCATCCTAAGGCTTGGGTTGAGGACCCTAATCGTTCTCCTGACTAAGTTTGGGAACCCTGACAATATCTGAGGCCAAGCACAACCATGACTATTTCCTTAGACTCCAACTACATCCTTCAACAGCCATTTGCAACTTATCAATGCTCGTCGCTGCATACAACAGGGCGGATATGTGAAAAATGCTACTGTTGGCGCTTCCCTTCTTCTCAACCACCATCACTAACCTTCTTTCTATTATTCCCAGAGTAGTTAAGAGCAGCCGCCATGCCATCTGCAGCTGTCTTTCCGCACCACCACATGGACCTCAATCACCAACGATCCCTTTTTAAGCTACAGTAACCCGTTTCTCTGGCGCCGTTCCATATTCGCACCCTAAGGCAAATAGGTCAACAGACTGCACACCCACGCACGTTGGACACCTTGGGTATTCACGTGGGTTGCGTGTCTGAAAGCAGGATCAACAACTCCGACGTGATTGCTGAACTAACTAACTGCACCTGGCTTGCCCTCTCGCTATTGGCTGCACGCATTCCGGGAGGCTGCTGCGGAGAGCGCTGGTCACTATACGGTGGGTATCGCTCTCAGATTTAAGGCTGAGTCATCGCTAGTTGATTGGATTCCCGTAAGTAGCAGCCTGTGTGCAACCCGTTTGACGACATCAAAAAGGGTTGATCCACGAAGTAATACAAGACGCTGTCTGTTTGTGGTTTCCGTTTATGCTCTCACAGACTGCAGTTCTGCTGTTGCCAAGGGCACATTCTATCACGAAATGAACACGCTGCTACGCGGTGTTGCCATTACAGACACCATAGCTCTTACCGTGGATGTGCATGTGCAAGTAGATCATTTGGGCTCTTCAGACGCGCAGTTAGGTAGAAACATAGGCTTAACACCCATAAAAAATGCAATACAAATGTACGGTGGACGGAGAAGGCGAAGCAGATGGAATGCTACACCGAACTTCGCCAACACAAGGAATTATTTGCCTCCTTGAAGGCGGTGTACGGACCGAGACTGGAGCAGCTGAGGAAGCTGATCCATGGTAGTTCAGGCGCTACCCACACATAGACTGCAGACATGATGCAGATCTGGCGAAAATACTTTGACTGTCTCTTGAAGAACCGTTCAGTGATCGACTGGCCCACACAGAACAACCTCAAGCAGCACGGTATGAAGGAGAGTCTGGCAGACACGCCGACACTGAATGAGACGCGGAGAGTACTTGCTGAGCTGCGAAACAGCAAGTGTGCCGGGGCAGACGGGATCGCGCCTGAAGTATTGAAACACGGCAGACCAGCGTTGGTGGCTGCGCCGCACCACTTGGTGCAATGCGTATGGATTGTGGAGGAGGTGCTATCACTGTACAAGGGCAAAGGGAACAAGCAACGTTGCACGAATTATCGTGGCATCAACTTGCTGAGTTGTGTGGGCAAGGTGATTGCCTGAATCCTGCTCAACCGCCTCGTCAGTCAGGTTGTGGAACCTAACGTGGCGAAAGAGCAGTGTGGATTCCGTTCGGGTCTCAGCACTATAGATATGGTGTTTGCGGCTCGTCAGTTGCAAGAGAAGTGCAGAGAACGACACCAGCCATTGTACTCGCTTTTTGTTGATTTCACCAAGGCATTTGGTACGGTGAACCGCGAGGTATTGTGGCTGGTGTTGGGTAAGTTTGGTTGCCCGCGTTAGTTTGTATAAGTTTATTAGAATGTCAGCACAGTGATATGCGTGCGAGGGTGCAGCTGAGTGGACAGACCTCGAATGACTTTGCGGTTGTCTCTGGTGTGAAGCAAGGCTGTGTCTTAGCTCCTGCCCTGTGTAATATTTATCTTCATCCAATGATGTTTTGTGCTTTTGATGCGGGTTGTGCTTACAGAGTTCGTCTGGAGCACCGCGTTGTTGGTGAGTTACTGAACATCTGTCGTTTCGGTGCGAGTACTCTAGTCTGTGAGACAACTATCCGTAGGTTGCTGTTTGCTGACGACTGTGCGTTGTTTGCACATTTTGCGGATGAGTTGCAGCACAGGACTAGTGC